CCCATCTTGTACATATAAATGTATGGCTTTGCCCTTGTCGTGTTTACTAGCTTTTCTCTTTGCCCTCTCTTCATTGTCTAATCCTCAAGTTCTCACTTTCCTTTTAATTGTGTTATACCTTTCTATTTTTATTTCTTCTTTTGAGTTCTTGTACTAAGTAGACTATACAATATTTACACATGTGGGTCTGATTTATTTCACTTATGAGTATATTTGCAAGTGGCATCCACTTAAATATGAAGGCTTTGAGTTTATCATTCTTTATAGCTGAGTAATACACTATTGCATAAAAATACCACATTGTTTTCATCCCTTCCTCAGGTGAGAGGCATTTTGGTTGTTTCCAACATTTGACTCTCACAAATTGTGCTTCTATAAACATAGGTACACATATATCACTATGATATGACTTTTCAGTTTCTGTGGGAAAATTCCCAGTAGGGGGACAGCTGGTTTGAATGGGATTACCAGACTTAGTGTTTTAAGGAATCTCCACACTGCAGACCCGGTGAGTGTGTGGGAGAGCTTCTGGCTACCCTGGGCCAGCGGGACCTGTGCAGTGCAAGCCCAGGTGCAGCGTGGGTGAGACCCTCTTCCACCCCCTGGGCACCCACCCCAACCACTCCGCACCTCCTCCCCCCTATAACCCCCCCAGCCGAGTGATAACTTCTGCCATGTTCTGCGGACCCCCAGATCCAGTCCTAGCCCAGATCCGGTGAGTGTGTGGGATAGCTTCCTCTTCCCTTACTCTACCTTGTCCCCTTCAGAGTCAGCTCAGGCCTGGCATACAGGCCTGGGGTGAAACTCTGCAGCTGTAGTTCCTGCAGAGAGAGTAGGGGATAGAACCACTCAGTTAGTCCAGGAGCAGAACATCTTGCCTGAGGGGCACAACAGGTTCACTCCCAAGGGCAGCAGCAGGAAGGAGCTGAGCACAGCAGCCAGACCCAAACCAGGCATAGCTGGATAAATCCAAACTTTGTAGATCTACACCTGAACTTCAGTAGGTGCTAAGGTTATAACTGCACCAAAGCTCTACAACAAAGGTCAGAAGACTGCTATACAAAATGACAACGACAAGGAGTAAAATGCAATCTCAGATCCCAATCCCACCCTGAACAAGTGCAGAGGACACTAACACAGAACAAATTGGGAA